AGGACAGGGGGGCGAACAGTGACCCCTGAGGGGCAGGAGGGGCGGAGGGGTGACCAGCCAACCAGCCCCTGCCCTCCACAGGCCCCTCCACACAGGCCAGCCCTCCTCCTCCTGGTCCCTTCCCCAGTGTGTGGCAGCGCCCCAACTGGTCCCCAAGAATGGCCTCCCTCCTGCCCGCCCAGATCATGCACTGGGGGTGGGTTTGTCATCGATGGCCTTTATTACACTGAGGTCTGTTCCCTCTAGTCCCACTTGTTGAGAGTTTTAATCATAAATCGGTGCTGAATTTTATCAAATGCTTTTTCTGCATCTCTTAATATGATCATGTGGTTTATAGCCTTCATTTTGTTTATGTGATGGATCGTGTTTATTGATTTGTGGATATTGTACCAACCTTGCATCCCCAGTTCATGATAGACCTGGCCGGCTCCGAGCGCGCGTCCCAGGTGAGGGAGCTCCCTGGAGGCTGGGGGAGGCCGTGGGGGGCCGGAGGAGGGGATGCGGCCTCCCAGATGAGGTCAGCTCCCCCAGGACTGGGGAGAATGTTTTTTGTGGGGGGCGGGGAGGCGGGGCAGAGGGCAAGGATGCCAGCCTCCCAGTTCAAACAGAAGGAAAGGAGAGAAACCCACCCTCCAACACACACACACACACACACACGTCCTGGAGCCTGGGGCGCCCTCTAGGGCCCTGTGCCTGTGGTGCTCCTGGCTCTGCCACTGCCTCCCTCCACCTCATTCTCCGCACAGCACCAGGCTGGGCAGGGGGCCTGCCTGGGGGAGACAGAGGGCGGCTCTCTCAGCCCCGAGCAGTCAGTCCCTCATTCTCACTCAGAGGCCCCCTTCTCTCCCCTTGGACCCTGCCCTCAGGAGGGGGCCAGGGCAAGGCCCGGTTGTCATCTCGACCTTTCAGAGCCCTGGGGGAGAGGGAGAGGCTCATAACCCAGGATCCCCAGGCGTTAGGGGTGATGCCTGTCCCCAGCCCCGTGAGGCCACAGCTCCGCCCCCCTCCGCTTGCCCCCAGACACAGAACCGTGGGCAGCGCATGAAAGAGGGGGCCCACATCAACCGCTCCCTCCTGGCCCTGGGCAACTGCATCAACGCTCTGAGCGACCGGAGCAGCAACAAGTACATCAACTACCGCGACAGCAAGCTCACCCGGCTCCTGAAGGTACCAGCGCCAGCCCGGCCCAGGCGCTGGGCACCAGGGGAGGCTGCCGGGTTTAGCCAGTGATACACAGGGTGCCCAGCCACAGTGGAATTTCACAAAGACAACGAACTGCATTTTTTTAGTATAAGTACGTCCCAAATAGGGCATTTGTATTTTATCTGGCGACCCTCACCAAATCCAATCTTCATGCGACGATCCCCATTCCTCACTCCGGCCAAAATCACAGAGCCATCAGCCATTGGGAAAGGAGGGGCCTGGGCAGCCAGACTGGAGGAGAGAGGAGGGAGGCCCCCTCGGGCTCCGAGCCAGCCGGCCGCGCCTTCCCTGCTCCTCTGTGAGGGGAGAGAAGGAGAGCCGGAGGCCCTGCCTGGGATACTCGAACTTTCCAGATGAGAACTTTGGAGAACAAAGTGGACATGGGAAGTGGGGACGGGGAGGGGGAGGGGAAGTCTGGACTGAGGGGGACCATGTGGGGTTCAGCACCAGGACGAGGAGAGAGAGAGAGAGAGAGAGAGAGAAGAACAAAGTGGACATGGGAAGTGGGGACGGGGAGGGGGAGGGGAAGTCTGGACTGAGGGGGACCATGTGGGGTTCATTACCAGGACGAGAGAGAGAGAGAGAGAGGCACTGCAGGGGACCCTGGGCAGCCTGGCTGACCACAGGCCCCCCTCCCTATTCCTCCTCGCTGTTAGGACTCCCTGGGGGGGAACAGCCGCACGGTGATGATCGCCCACATCAGCCCCGCGAGCAGCGCCTTCGAGGAGTCCCGGAACACCCTGACCTACGCCGGCCGGGCCAAGAACATCAAGACCAGGGTGAGGGCCCCACGGAGCCCCTGGACTGATCCCAGACCCTGCCACCCCTCCCGCGCTCCCTGGAACCAGCCACCATCGCACTGGGCCCATTCCCCCCGCCCCGGAAAGTTACCCCAGGCCCTCTCTCTGCACCTCCAACACTTGCATGCTGCCCCCCAGGCTCCCCTCCTTCCTGTTCATGGTCTGAGCTCCCCTGGCCCAGCCCCTCCCCCTCCCCTTGGCATCTTCAGATGCTCATTCAGACGGTTACGTTTCAAAGCACCTCATCATAACAGCCACACACGCCGCGCCCTTTGCCATTCGTCTCACATGCTCCCCGCGTGAGGCCGGGGTCACCAGTCACGTTTCACAGTTTAGGAAAATGAGTCCGAAGGAAGGGAGGGGGCTCCCCCGTGGGCAGTGATGGCGCTGAGACTGTCCCGCTGTCTGGGAGGGAGTCCATTTCGATGTGTGTGCGAAGGGGCGGATGGATGAACGTCAGAGCGGCTCATTCTCCCGACACTACCATCTTCCAGCCACCGCTCCCTTCCAACCCTCAAGGAACTTAGCGGGGAGGAGACACGTCCTTGAGCCAGTTGATAGCTCAGAATATTATTAACAGCAGGTCCAGGATGCCAACAGGTGGCGGGCTGGTGGGGTTCCGCGGAGCTCTTTGGAGACTGTGAGCGGGACTCGGGAAGCTGGGAGGACATTCCAGAAGGGGGAGCAGCAGGAGTAGAGGTTCCAAAAGCAGGAAGGAGACGGTGTCTGGTGGGATGGGGAGAGCCGGATGGCTTCTCAACTATCATAGAATGTTCACGACAAAGCAGCGGGTCTAAAGGCAATCCAGACAGCCCTGCTGGTGGGGCTCAGTGACCTCTGAACCAGGGGGTCACAGTTCGATTCCCGGTCAGGGCACATACATGCCCAGGTTGCAGGCTCAGTCCCCAGTAGGGGGCCATGGAGGATGCAGCGGATCCATGACTCTCATCATTGATGTTTCTCTCTCTCTCTCTCCCTCTCCCTTCCTCTCTGAAATCAATGAAAATACATTTTTTTAAATAAGAAAGAAAAGGGAAATGCAGACAGACAGTGGTGGGCCGTCATCACAGGTGAAGGAACCAGGGCAACCCCCAGGCAATAGGGAGCCAGTGAAGGTTCAG